AGTAATCATTTTGCTTTCTCAGTGATGTGAGAAACTCCATACCGGAAATAGCCATGCGTCAGGTCATAGAGGTCAGCATAATTATATTTGCATACACAGCTGTCCTTCATATGAAGTATATGCAAAACACCAAGAAATTTAAATCCAAGAAAATAATGGAATGACTGAAACAAATACATTTGGAAAATTTGTTGAGTAATCTTGGCAAAGAACATTTTGAGAAGTATAACAATAAGCTGGCAAAATAAATACTTACCAGGCTTAAACTAAGTCAAATTGCCTTTAAATGGATCAACAGAGAAGCAGAGAGAGGAAAATTATGTGCATGAACCCCGCAAGGAGTAAGGGGATACTACCTTATTCTGATGCAATGAAACTTTATACTATGGCTATTTTCTCCAAGGATTTCAGGTCCTAAACAAAGTTACAAAATAAAACTGAAGATTTCAAAAACAGTGCAACAGAAGTACAAGATCAGTTAAAGGAACTCAAAATCAACAGATCTCAAGTTATACATAGTCATTATCATGCATGTTAAAAAAAGGACTAAGGAGTAAATTTATGAGGCATTTACAAACGTTCTTTGGGAGGCATTAGATTGTACAATGGTACAAATCATTGAAATATGCCAATTGGTGTATATATTTAAAAAAAAGAGCGAGTAAATTTACTCATTAGCCGTACTTTGATGGAAATGGCTGTTAGGAGTAAAGAGGAGAATTCTCTGTACACCAACTACTTGTAAAAAGTTCCCTGATTGGATTCAGATAACGAAGATTGTGTCTGAGCAATTTCTTGAACTTCTTTAAGGACAGCCTAAGTGATCAAAGGAAAACTCTCCAACAAGGTGCACCCAGAATTTGAAAGTGTTATTGCCAGAGACTCCCAACTTGAAGTGGGACAGAACAGTTTCAACTCGAACAGGTCAGTGTGTGGAAGATCAATGCCAGTTTAAATTGAGAGCAGATTAATATCGGGTAAAAAAAAAAATGCCAGAGATAGATAGTTTGAAATTACACAGCATAATAATAAGTATCTGTCTCAAGATGACTTTCATTCAAATTTTCAGAAGCAAGAAAGAAAGAGAAATACATTCAGCTCGGTTATAACAGTGTGGAGCTGGAGGAGCACAGCAGGCCAGGCAGCATCAGAGGAGCAGGAAAGTTGACGTTTCGGGTCAGGACGCTCCTTCAGAAATGGGGCATCCAGTGAGGTCTTTCTGGAGCGGGGAGGATAACTTTTTCAATGTGGGCATCCCTAGAGGAGGCTTCACAGTGGGGTTATAACTCACTCAGAAATAGTAAAAACTGCCGAAGCTGGAGTCAGAGTTAATACAGTGTGAAGCTGGAGGAACACAGCAGGCCAGGCAGAATCAAAGGAGCAGGAACACTGACATTTTGGGTTGGGACCCTTCTTCAGAAATGGGGCTCAGTTATGATTTTCTCAAATAATGGAGCAGTTTGAAGGAGCTGAATGATCACTTCTGCTCCTATTTCGTATGTTTGCATGTAACATTTCACAGTACAAAATGGAATTTGGAGTATAACACAAATTCAATAGGCCATTGCCCATCTGAAATCCCAGAAAATTGAAGATTCCAATCAACACTCCCACAGATCCTTTTCTCCATTCTGCGCACAGCTCCAAGATCCGCGCACAGCAACGGCTTCCAGAACTGGGCATGGCCGTGCAGCTTAGAGCAAATGCTGATTCCAACCATTCTCTATTTAAAGAATCATTTTCAAGCTCTCCTTCTCTTTTTTTTGGTGATTATCTTAACGTGTGCCCAAAACCAGATGTGCCCACCAGCAGCAGGGTGGATGTGTTAGATCTCCAACAAAAGGAGGATATATATGACCTTCAGAAGGCATCTACTGATTCCTTGCATCTGGCATTGCTAGGGTTATTGGGGAAAGGGTCCAAAGTAGATTGGCTGATTTTAAATAGCAATCAACTAAAAAGGCGTACCTACAATAGGGGTTGGGAGCAGTTTGAAAAACATTTCAAACTGGGCCCTCCCCCATGGTGAGTTTGGTAGTGGAGGCATTTAACCAGGTCGGCAGATGTTGGGTGATGAGCAGATGATCCCACATACTTCCCTTTCAATTCTTTTCCAGATTTGACCAAAGGCAACCCCCAGAATTCCAGTCTCTTCGATTATCTGTGACTATGGTCAAAAACCCTTTGCACACTTTGTTTTGTGTCTCACTG